AGGAGTGTGGCCGTGATGGGGGCAGCAGCAACGTCACACCGCGGGCTGCCCAGAGCCTGGGAATCCTCACCCACATGTGCCATGAGGCGGCAGGCGCCTGCCCAGCCTCCCGCCCGGCCTCCCGCCCGGCCTCCCGCCCGGCCTCCCACGGCCCAGCTAATCCTCTTGTCCCTGAGAAGCAAAATCATCATCATTTTTAATTGAAAAAAGAGGCCGATAGGATTCTGAGCCACGGCAGGAGAGTAATCAGCACAGCCCCAAGGCCCGAGGGGGCTCATCAATCTGTCACTCAGGAGACGGGATCCTAAAGCTCAGCTGCCACTGCTGGGCTCAGAGGAAGTGGGCACCAGTGACCTCCAGCAGGGCCACATTCTCCCTTTCCCCAGGCGGAGCCCTCGCCAGGGTGAGATGGGCTTGGTCTCCAGAAGCCAGACAGGTGGCCCTCTGCTCAGGATGGACAGGTCCAGGCTCTGCTGCAAGCTCGTCCCCCTCGCTCTCCCTGGCTGCTTCCCATCCCACCTGCCGGGTCCCACTCCGGGTTAAGGTGTGGTGGGTGACACGGCAGGCCTCCCACCGCTCAGCCCAGGGCTCCCCTGCGGGCAGTGTGTCAGTCACAGGAGTGGGTGCGGCTTCACCAGGAGAGGCTGCCGTCCGGGACAGGCAGCACGTGTTGGTGGCCGTCTGTGAGGATGGAGTGCTAGCCACTGTCCCCACAAAGGCCTCCAGCACTGTCCACCCTCCCAGTCCTCTCAACGTGACCTACAGGGCCAGGCTGGCTGAGGCTGAGGGGCTGGGGCCCAGGCACTGAGCGTTCCTTGTGGAGGACAGGGTCAGGTGGCCTAGTGTCCACTCTAGCCAGAGCCAGTCTGCCGCTGTGTGGCTTCAGGCAGGCCAACACCCTCTCTGAGCTACTCTTCCCATCTGTGAAGTGAACGTGCTGGTCAAGGTACCCCCAAAGCTCCTTGTTCCCGTGCTCCCGGGCGGAACTGCTGGACAGCTCATCTCAGGGAAATACTTCCCGTCTCTGGGTCTCAAAGCGGGTGCCTCAGAGCCTGGGGCTCACTGCGGTGGGCACCACTGTGTCCTGCCAGCCCACACTGCCCTCCAGGCGCTAGCCGGCAGCCCTAGGACAAGCCACTCCTGGGGTTCAGAGCCGCCTAGTCTGGCTCTGTGCCCGCGGCTGGCTGGGGAGCTGGGGCCACCAGTCCCTGTCCACTCCTGTAAGCCCAACGCGCGCGGGTGCCCAGGAGGCTGAGGGAGGAGCCATTGGACTTGGGCTGAGGGTCAGGACAGGCTGACCCTCCAGGTGCCCCTGAGGCAGAGCAGGACTGCAGGGCCGGGAGAGGCAGGCCAGTGTCCAGGAGGGCTTCCAGGGGCCGAGCTGCCCTGAGGCTGTGGGCTGGGTCAGGAGGACCTGGCGCTCCTCTGGAGGGCTGGTGGGTTCAGGGCGCGAGGCGGCTGGTCAGGAGCAATGTCCAGCCCTGAATACTGCCTCTGTGGCACAAAGGGATGGGTAGAGGGCTGCCGGCTCCTGCCCAGGGCCCCACGCCAAGCCCCAGCCCACTGGTGGCCGCAGGCCTCGTGCTCCAGCAGAACCCGGCCCACAGCCACCGGGAGGGGGCGGGACAGACGGCTTCCCGCCGGGCACTCGGCCGGGCACTCACCACTTCCCCAGAGCAATTAAGATAAATGCAGCGATAGCGCAGGGTGCCCGAGCCTGCCCTCCAGGTGCACAGGTAACTGTACCTGCAGACTTACCTGCGTGCTCAGGTGACCGCTGCTGAAGAAAAGCGGGAGCCCGGAGGAAAGGAGGGGAATATTGTGGAATAATGGCAGCCTGTCCGGCCACGGCCCAGGACGCAGGCTGGCCGGGGTGTCGCTCTCATGGCTCCACTCTCCAGGTGGCCCGGCCCTCGTGGACGGGGCCAGGATGGGTGTGAGGGACAGAGGGAGACACCCAGGGCAGGGCCAAGGTCAAGCACCCCGCACAAGGCCCGTGGGCATGGCTGAGACCGTTGTGGGTGACAGTGTGGAAGGGGCATCTGGCCTCAACCAGCATGTCCATCAGAGAGTGACCATCGGCTGAAGGGCTATGCCCAGCCAGAGGTCAGTGCAGGGCAGGCTGAGGAGGCCAGATTTGGGATTCAGTGTCCAGCGTAGTATAACACAGGCGGACTCCGCCAGGGTGGGCCAGCAGAGGCAGAGCAAGGGACCAGCCTTCAGAGTGGACGGGTTGGGCCCCTGGACGGGGCCAGCACTCCAGGAGCACAGCCTAGAGAGGACATGTCTATGAGGGTCCTGTCTGGGCTCTGCTGTGCTTCTCCACCTCAGGTCCCCAGCTCCAGGGCCCGTCCCCACGACGCCGGCTTCTCGCCGCCTCCTTCGTATCCACGTGGGTCTGGGGACGGCAAGGGAGTGGCCAGGGCCAGGTCTGCTGTCGGGGTAGACAGCAGCTGCCCGCCCAGCAGCTCCCACTGTGGTCTCCAGGGCCCAGACCCCTGCCCCAGGACTTCTGCTCTTCTCTGCCCCGTCAAACCTGCTTCCTTGTCCTCTCTCAGCTTCCCTCAGGACTCCCACTGCCCCTCCCGAAAGGCCCGCCTCTTGACCTGGACAAGTGACCCACCCCCTGGCCTCCAGTCCCTCTGTCAGTCTGAGGATAGTGCCGACCTCGTGGGGCGGGGGATTGGGCGCAGGAAGCCCATGCATGGACAGGGCCTGGCGGTGGGCCAGGGGCGTCCACACTGCCGTCATTACACTTGCAGTGTCTCTGACACAGAGACGTGGACACTGTGTCATGGACATGGACATTTCCCCATTTTTCTAACATGGTCCCGACTCTGCGGTTCCCCGCACACCTGAGCCTCCCTCTCTGCACCTGGCTATGACTGACCCTTCAGAACACCAGACCAGCCAAGGCCACAGTGAGGGTACACCAGAGCCCCAGGGCTGGTCAGGCAGGGCCGGAGGAGCTGGCCTCAGGTCCCCCCTTGGGTGACCATCTTCAGGGCCTGGCCTCTTGCTGGGGCTGCCAGTGTGGAATGGCTTGCTGAGCTCTTCAACTGCACCCCACAAGAGCCCACCTCATGGTCCACCTCCACAGGCCCTGGAGAGGCTGGGGGCCCGTCTGTGGAGCCCAAGGCCACCCGTGGCATCTTCCGGGAGCCGCGAGGGCACCTGTGCAGGGGGCTCTGGAGCTAGGCCCCAGGTGGGAGGCAGGGCCAGGAGCAGGCCAGGGTTGGGGGCCAGCTCTGCAGGTCAGGAAGGCCAGGCCAGGCTGGGGCAGGTCAGAAGAGGCAGTGTGGGCCCGAGGAGGGAGAGAAGGCAGGTGCAGGGGTCTGCGTCTGTGGGCTCACCCCTCCTGGGGCAGGCGGCCCCCGTTGCCGCGCGGAGCCAGCCAGCCTGAGAACCCCGGTCTTGAGTTACCAGGGTGCCCGCACGGCCAGTCCAGGAGGAACCGGTCACTTTGAGAGAAAAGGAACTGCCCCCACTCCTCCAGGACTCCCTGGGCCAGCCTGGGACCTGGTCTCCCCACTTCAAAGGGCCCAGCCTTCTGATACCCACACCAACGCAGGGGGATCGCCAAGAGCCCAGGCGGGGCGGGAACTCGAGACGAGGCCTGTGCTGCCCCTCACTGCCCCTGGTCCTCAGGCTCTGCACGGGCACTGGCGGCGGCACGCCCGAGCCCTGGGGTCCTGAAGGAAATGAGGGCCCACCGCTGAGGACCGAGGATGGGCAGGGATGGAGGTGGGTACCCCCAGAACCTGGGACCAGTCGGGGTAGGAAGGACAAGGTGATGGAACTGCTGGCCTGGAGCCCCCTCCCAAGGCACCGAGCCGGTGTGTGTCAAGCACAGAGGGACACAGGGACAGCCCCTGCCCTGGTCCCTGCTAGGCCACATGCTGGCCGGGTGACCTCCCCCAGGCCACTCTCCGAGGCAGCCGCCTCATCTGTAGCTATTGCTGACTCTGTCCTTCTGGTAAGCGGGAGGCCACGAATTGGCCACATACGGCCACGTGCCCAGTGCCCAGCACAGTATCTGGTGCAGATGTGAAGCCTGAGAGTGAATGGTGGACATCTGCCCACCTCGGGAGAGGCCTGCTTGCTGGGGTGCTGGGCTGGCCACCTGGTGCGGAGCAGCCTGTGCGCTCAGTGACTCTCGGGGAGCAGTGGCCTACCGCCCTTCATTGCCTTGTGGTCTTGGGTCAGGGAGGCGGTGCGGCCCAAGGGGTGCCAGCAGGTCTCCAGAGGCTGCAGGCGGGGTGTCAGCAGGGGACGCGGCCCCGTAGAAGGCTCCCAGGGCCACAGAGCTGCTGGGGCTCCCTGCCACTCAGACCTCTGTGGGCCACACGGGGCCACCCCCACACATACTCGCCCTGTGCGCCAGGTAAAAGCTGGAGGGGCGGCTGCAGCGGCTCTCACGGCCCGGCCTGCAAGGTCCTGTCTGTCAGCAGAGTGCTGGGCCCCACCCAAACCCACATCCAGGTGGGGGGAACTGGGGTGCACCTCCCCAGGGACAGGGTCACACCGCACCTGGCCACATTTAAAGCCCACAGGGGTCAATCTGACAGTCTCTCTCCATCTACCCACTGCCCAGCTGAGGCCGGGCTGAGGGACCTGGACCCCCTGCAGCTGTGTGGGTGGCGGTGGGGAGGGCCGGCAGCAGCCCCTCCGTGGCGTGCCCTGGAATGGTGCGGGTACTGAGGGCAGGAAGCTGCAGGCAGCGTGGGGCAGATGTGTCCAGGAAAGGAGGGGACCGTCCACCCCACTGGCTGGCATTTTGCCTCTTCTCCTCGGAAGGAAACACAAGGTGCACCCTCGACTCCTGGCAGGACTGGGCGAGGGTCCGCAGGGAGGGGGACGGAGCCTGCCCACACCCATCTTGTAGTCGTGTGAATGATTGGTCTGTGCCTAAGACAGAGCCATGACAGACCGCAGGGTTCCACTGGCTGACCTGCCTGCTGGCCTCCTGGGGCCCGCCACCCCCGTCTCCCAGGCAAGCTTCCTGCCTCTGGGTGGCTGCGGACAAGGGGGCCGTGCCCTCCTGGGCTCCCAGGGCTTGGCCAGAGCCTCGCCCGGCAGCAACTAACCCTCTTTCCTTTCTCTGCAGCCAGGAAAGCCCTGCTCCTCAGGAGGCTGTGTGTCGACCACACCAAGGAGCCCCAGCTCCCCAGGTATGTACAAGTGGCCAGCCGCCTGGACCCTGGCAGCTGCCCCTGTCCAGAGTCGCCCCTGTCCCGCAGGAACCCACACCTGGCCTCCATCTCCCCACACAGGACGGGGCAGCCGACCGAGAGCCCACCTCCCAGAGCCAGGCGTCCGGGGCTGGCCCCGGCCTGACACCGCAGCTCTGGGCTGGGGCAGATGTGGCAGTGCTGTCCAGTGGTCCCTGCGTCCTGTAGCACCCAGACCCCAGGCCTCCCGGCCCCGATGGCCTTGCCAGAGACGAGGCCCGTGGGACTCAGTGCCTTCCAGCAGCCTCCTCAGCCCAGCCCAAGGATCTCGGGCCCAAGAGCGGAGGAGGGTGTCACCCACAGACGCGGGCTCCCTGCAGCCTGGCCCTGGGCGGGAGTCTGGAAGCAGCAAGGTGGCCAGACCCACCGGGCTGGCCAGGGAGTCAAGCCAGACGGTGCTCAGCAGCTCGGCTCGGCTCTGCTGCCTGGCCACCTGTCACCCAACAGTCATCACTGAGGACAAGACAGGGAGAGGCCCTCCCCCCACAATGGGATGGGCAGGGGCCCAGGGGTGGCCTGGGAGGAAGGGGCACCTCGCCGGGCAGCACATCCCCCTCTGGGCACTGGGGTGGAGTGTAGTGGTGCCCTCTGCTGGGAGCCACTGGTATAGCACCCAGGCAGAGACCTGGGACCCTCAGGCCCCAACTAAGGCAGGACACCCCAGGCGGGGCACTCCAGGGCAGGGCTGCCTGTCCTTGGCTGGATGTGCAGGTTTGGGCCTGGCCCTTGAGCATCCCTGGGAGCCCCACATGTGGGGTGCAGCTGGGTCTCCCCAAGAGCAGAGTCGGCTCTGCCTGCTGGCTGTGTGGTGGTGGGCAAGCGTCCAGGCTCCTCTGCCCTGTTGCAGGCCTTCCATCAGTGACCGCCTCTGCCCTTCATCAGCCTCTCTTCTGGGCCGATGGCCTGTGGAGGTAGAGAGGAGCCCTGACCCCTGCACCCACCATGCAACCCTGGGTCCCGTCCTGAGGACACATGAGATCAGAGTGGCTCTTGGTCAACCGGCGGCACGGCTTGGCTGGTGGCTGGGAAGGGGGAGAATCCGTGAGGTGGGGCAGGTAGCCCAGGGTCACCCTAGAAGGGAACCCCCGGACAAGGTCCTGTGGGGCACCCAGATGAAGACGGAACCGCTGGGCAGATGGGAGTGTGCTTAGGGAAGCAGGAGGGGATGCAGCCAGGCCCCGGGCCTCGCAGACCAGGAATGGCCCAGCCTAGCAGGGAGGCCATGCTGGGCTTCCCCAGAGGCCTGAGCTGGGGTCCTGGAGGCCCTGAAAGGAGCCTGCACATTCTTGAGTCTGGGGACTCCCCAGAGTGGGGCTAGAGACCTTCCTAGGCAACCCCCAGGCAGGGATCTCCAGCCAAGGACTGAGGTGTAGCGGCGGGTCCTCCACAGACCCCCACAAAAGTCAGGTGTGAGCCTCCAAGGAGGTCTTCACGTCCCCCACCAGGGGTCCTGAGGCTGGGCTGCCCACAGAGGCCCCTGAGCAGGAGTGAGCATCCACCCCAACTGCCAGGCTCGCCCCAACCCCACCTGCACGTGAGCCTCCCGCCATAGCCTGGCAGCCGCCTCTGGGGCTGGAAGAGCCCAGGGGTCTTCTCAGACCCTCAGACCCCAGGCGGCCCCTCCCCCTCCCTGTCCCTCCCTCCCCCTCCGATTTTGCCCCCTTTTTCCCTCCCCCTTCCCATCCCGTCTCTCGCCCAGCAGCCCCCAGAGTCCCTGGCTCCATCTGGCATGAAACCCTCTAGGGCCTCTCCAGGCCCTGAGCTGCCCTACCCTTCCCTTAAAGCAGGACGTCTGCGATGGCCACACAGCAGGGCCTGCTTCTGGCCTGGCCACAGCCTCCCTGCTGGGCCAGGGCCATCCCGCCCCACCAGCCCCCATTCATTACTGCCCTTTCCTTGCAGGCTTCACTCAGGACCATGAGAGCAGGCTGCCCCAGGGACCCCCAGGGGGTGAGGATGGCCACCCAGCCCACGCCCTGTGGCCCCCCTCGGACCACTGCATCCTCCTAGCGCCCAGGACGGTGGGGCCATGCCGGGGGAGCGGCCCCGAAGAGCACCGCCCCCAACCATGACTGGAGACCTGCAGCCCTGCCTTGCCGTCAGTGGCCTGGGGCGTCCCCCACAGCCCCTCATCACCCCGGGGAGCAGGACCACCCACGGCCCGAGGGAGGCAGGCGGCCGGGCCCAGGCCCAGGCGCTCCCCGAAGCCCAGCCCAGGCAAGCCAAGGAGGTTGAGCCCAAGGCCCTGCTCCTGAGGACCCAGGCCGGCCCCCGGCGGAGTCACCCACAGGCTCACAGGTGGGTGGTGGGCAGGGCAGACAGCAGCCCCCCAGAGCTCTACTGTCTGAGCGTCACCAGCTCCAGGGCCAAGCTCACCCGAGATGAGACGCCTGAGGGCCCACGGTGCGAGGCCCCTCGGGGCCCAGAAGCAGAAGGTCCCGGGGACCCAGGGGCTGGAGCCCACCCCAGGCCCAGCCTCCCGAGGGCTGAGGCCCCCCCTGCCCCCAAAGAGCACAACTCCCAAAGGTGCTTCCAGGAGACCCCCTCCGGCTTTACCTCCACCGACTATACCTCACCAAAGGCCACCCCAGGGCCCCTGCCTCTGCGGGCCCCCCAGGGCAGCGGCACCAGCCCTCAGGGGCCAGCCCCCCACCCCGAGTTCCAGGCCAGCGGGGCCAATGCCTGGCCTCGAGCTGCTGCAGACCACTTCCCAGGTGCTGATTTCAGGGTCCCTCCCCAGGAGCCAGAGCCTCTTCCTGAAGGCAGCAGGCCTGGCGGCCCTCGGGGGGGCTCCTTCCAGTTCCCCTTCCCATCCCAGACCCTGCCCGGGGCCGGCGCCAAGCCCTTCCCCGCAGACACAGCCAGTCACGAGTGTGCTGACCGGGGGCTGCTGTTCGCCTTCCGCCAGCCCTCGGGCCCATGGCAGGAGGCCGGCGTGGGCACAGCTGCCTACCCACTGCCTGCCCAGCCTGCCCTCTGCACTCTTCCCTGCTACCCCAGCCAGCCTGGTGGCCTCGATGACCCCAGAGACCCTGGGGGTGCCCTCCCCGCAACTGGTGCTACTCACCTGGCCCCAAGCCCCCTCCCCGACACTTTGCACAAGAGCCTGACCAAAGTCCTTCCTGACGGAGCCCCCTTAGCCCATGATGGGATGGCGAGCCCCAGGGCACTCCCAGACCCTCTGTCCCGGCGGCCCTTTCCAGGGCAGGCACATGGAGCCAATGGGGTGGGAGCCAGCCCAGAGCCTGTGGACAGTGAGCTGACCACCCCAGGGCCTCCGCCCACAGGACTGCCCCACCGGTGGGACCCCACAGCAGCCCCTTACCCGACCCGGGCCATGGGCCTCCCAGACACCGCCAGGGCCACATTCCTTGAGGGCCACTCTGGCCCAGGCCAGGGGCTGTGCCTCCCGCAGAGCTCGCCTGTGCCCTGGCCCCAAGTGCTCCCAACCCCTGGGCCAAGCCCCCACCAAATGGAGATACTGAGCCAGCTGCCATGCCCCCGGGGCACCCCCGAGTGGCAGGGGGACAGTCAGGCAGGCCTGAGTGCTGCCTGCCAAACAGCCAGGACCGGGGAGGCCCTGGCGGTGGTGAGAAGCAGCCCTGGACAGCCAGGCAGCTCCCCCGGGCTGTTCCCCTACCGCGGGCTAGGTGACCCTGGGGCCCAGCCCCTGCTTTTCGGGGGAGCCCAGGCCCAGGCATCACCCCGAGGAGCCTCTGGCCTGCCTGCCCCTAGGGTGTTGGGTGCCTCCCCCAGAGAGTCCCCGCTGCCCTCGCCCGCCACCAGCACGGTGGGCAGCAGCAGCTGCTCCTCGCTCTCCAACAGCCCGACCAACCCCAGCTCCGAGGACAGCCAGCCCCCCGGCCCCCTGGGGCCCTCGACTTTCTTCCACCCGCCCCCCCACCCCCAGGAGACTGGCAGCTCATTCCCGTCCCCAGAGCCCCCCCACGTCCTCCCCACCCACTACCAGCTGGAGCCGGCCAAGGCCTTCCCTTTCCCCACAGACGGGCTGGGCGCCGAGGGTCCCGGGGCCGGCAGGGGGCTGCTGCAGGGCTTCCCCCGGGAGCCGCCCCCCTACCCCGGCCAACACTTCTCCCTGAGCAGTGCCAGCCTGGACCAGCTGGACGTGCTGCTGACGTGCAGGCAGTGTGACCGCAACTACGGCAGCCTGGCAGGCTTCCTGGCCCACAGGCACTTCTGCAGGCCGGCCCGGGCCGGGGACGGCTCCCAGCAGCCCCCGGGGCACCCCGCACCCACCACCACCCCCAAGGCTCCCGCCCACATGCACACAGGCCCACTCAGCCACGGCCAGACTGTCCCCTTCCTGATAGCCAGGGATGATCCCCTGAGGACAAGCTACCTGCCCAGCCTAGCCACCCCCTTCCCACTCCCTGCCTCAGACCTGGACATGGAGGACGAGGCCAAACTGGACAGCCTCATCACTGAGGCCCTCAACGGCCTGGAGTACCAGTCGGACAACCCCGAGATAGACAGCAGCTTCATCGATGTCTTCGCCGACGAGGAGCCTTCTGGCCCCAGAGGACCTGGACCTGGGCCACCTACCAACAACGGGTCAGGGGTGACCCCAGAGCACTGTGCCGAGGACTTGCTCCCAGCCAAAGCTGACACACCAGAGTCCCAAGCCCCCTGCCCTGGGGACAGAAGCTGCCCACCCGGAAATCGGCCCAAAACCCGCTCTCTGGGCCTGGTACCCATGGAGGCAGATGCCATCAGCCTAGTCAAGCCGCAGAGGAGAGGGAAGCAGTTCAAGCTGCTTCGTAAAGAACTGGACATAGCCAGTGGCCCCAAGGGACCCTGCCTGAGGCCCAGGAAGAGAGGCCACAGCGCTGAGCGGCCCCCGCCCCGCACCCGGGACCTCAGAACTCAGGCCCGGGGCCACACAGATCCAGACAGCCAGGCCCCGAGAGCCACCTCCCTCACTGCAGAGACCAGGAGCTCCGGACGCCTGCGTCTGCCCGCTAAGAAAGACCCCCGGCAAAGGAGGGCCCGGGGTGGCGCCTGGAGCAAGGAGCTCATCCACAAGATGGTGCAGCAGAAGAGCAGGCTCCCCAGGCGGCAGGCACCGCGAGGTGCGCCCGGCCCCCCTCGGACCCAGAGGGCCCTGCCCAGTGCCCAGGACAGCAGGCTCAGGGAGTGCAATTCTGAGTCCGAGGAGGAGTGTCCCCGCCAACGGGGTGCTAGCTCCCGGGGCCGATCCTGCCCCGGACATAGGCGGGGGCAGGGAGGTGAGAAAAGGGAGGAGGACTCACCCCGGGGCCCCAGGAAAGGCCAGAGGCCAGAAGCCAGAAAGGACAGGGGCACCCCAGCCCCAGTGGGGCCCTGCAGCCCATCAGAGAGCCCCGCTGTGGAGCATGGCCTCAAGCACACTGACGGCCCCTTGGCACCGCTCAACCATCGTCCACAGCTTCCTGCCAACAGCAAGGGCCCAGAGGAAGACCAGCCGCCCTCGGACTTCCCCCAGGAGGCCCAGAGGCCTGCAGCAGCCCAAGAATCAGCCCCCGAGGCCACCAGACTCAGAGACGGGCCCGGTCTTTCTCCAGCCATCTGTGAGAGAGAAGGTGCCAGGCCACCAGCTCCAGAACCAACACAGCCTGGCAGATCCCGGCCACCAGGAAGCCAAGCCCGCGCGCTGTCCACCCAGAGCACTCCCGCCCCAGGCCCCGGGGACCTGCTGGGTGCCCCCGGGCCCCACCACAAAGAGGACTGTCCTGCTGACCATCCAGGAGGGCTTCTGAGGCCCGTCTCTGCCCACCCTGAACCCCACGTCCTGCTTGTTCAGAACGCTGATGCAGGTTGTGACCCTGCTGGCCCTGACAGAGACTCCGTGGGGGGCCCCCCTGCCGGAAAGGAGCCCCACCCCAGCAGCAGCGCATCCACTGAATTGCTCCTCCGACCCAGAGACCTCGAGGGCTGTCTCCCTGGAGGCCTGTGCTCCAGGCCCTCGGCTGCCCACGCACAGGGGGCCAGCCGCGGCCACCTCAGCCCAGACAGCATGGATACCCTTGAGCCGAGACCTCGCAAACATTCACCTTACGCCGCTGACAGCCCCCCGGGGAGCGCCCCCTCACCGCTGACCTTGGAGTCCACATCCCTCTTTGCGGGGCTGCCCGAGGATGGATTCGATCCACCACTGTGCCATGGCCGGTCTGCAGACGGGGATGCCCACACACCCACGGCACCAGCCGGCACCCCCCCAAGGAAACCTCTGATGCACCCTCTCTGCCCACCCTTCTTGCTGTTGGAGGAAGAGGCGCCAATGCTGCCCAGCCAGTTTCCTGGCCTCTCAGGGGGAAAGACCCTGGGTAAGAAGTGTCCCCACGAGGGGCCCGCGCCCCCTGCGCCTGGGAAGGGAAGTGAGTGCAGCCTCAGCGGTCTGTCCGAGGAGGAACTGGAAATCAAAAGACTGGTCAGCGAGTTGGAAAGCCAGCTGCAGAGGACAGAGGACACCCAGGGCGCCCCAGGAGGGCCCGGCCCAGGCCCAGAGCCAGCCTCGACCCCCGGGGACACAGTCTCAGCACTGGACCTCATGGGCCTTGGGGAATCTAATGACCGCCAGGAAGGTGTAGAGACAGGCACAGCCACGGAGGAAGGGGCTCGCGGGGGCTTCCAGGGAGAGTGGCCCTGTCCAGGCCCCGGCCACCCAAGGCAAGTAGTGCCTGCCCCCAGCACCCACGAAGACCCAGGTTCTGGTGCTGCTCTTGGGCCCCCGGGGAGCAGCATCAGTTCCCAGGCAGAGCAGATGGCCAGAGTCTCAGAGAAGGAAGGAGATGGCCGAGACCTCAGTGGGCATCTGGAGGCCACGCAGTCGGCCAGGCGCAGCCCAAACCAGGCACTTCTGTTTCCTAATGAGACAGTCAGGACACAGGGGACGGAGGACACCCCTCTGTGGCTTCCCTGTGAACAGAGTGGAAGGCGCTCCCCCGAGCCCCCTGAGGCAGGGGGGTGCGGCCAAGGTCCCCCTACATGGGCTCGCGGCCACCCTAACGTCTATCTGGCTCCCGACCTCGCGATTCGGGCAGATGGGGATCTGCCTCCAGGTGCCTGTCACCGTGTCACCTCTGAGGAACACTCTGGGGGCGGAGCAGCAGGACCCAAAGGGGCTGGGCTCCTCTTCCCCATGACAGAGGGGCCTGGATTTGAGGGCAAGGGGGCTGCCCCAGCACCTCAGGGCAGGGAGCCTCGGGACCCCCACACACCAAGTCCTGGCTGGGTGCCCCAGGCCAGCCCCAGCAAGAGGCCCCAGGCCCTGGCCCCCCTCTGCTTGCGGCCACTCCAGGTCCTGGAGGCGCGAGCCGGGGGCAACGACAGCAACCAGGGCTCACAGGGGGTGCTGCTGGCTGCTGCCCATGGTCCTCCGCACAGGGGCCCCCCAGGCCCAGGAGGGCCCGGTGTGGAAAGCGGCTCCCCAGGGTGCAAGCAGGTAACAGCTGACCCTGCAGCCACTGGACCTCAGCTGGCGCCCCAGGCAGACGGACAACTGGGCCCACCTGGCCAAGCTGAGAAGCCGGAGGGCTGTGGAGAGGCCAGCGGGCTTCAGTCAGTTAACTGGAAGAAACCAGGGGGCCCAGGTAGCCTGGCCAGGTTCAGTGCCCACCCTGGAAACCCCCTGGCCAGGCCGGCCAGGGGCACCCCTGAGCCTGAGGAAAGCCAGGCGCCCTTGGGCCTCGGGAAGCAGGCGCAGCCCACTCCAGGCCCTTCGTCCTCCAGTGGGACTCGCTCGCCACCAGCCCTGATGGCAGCCCACACCCAAAAGGGACCTGAGGACAGAGGTCCAGGGAAGGTGTCCAGCTCAGGCCTTGACCCGCAGCTGCTGTTCAACAGGGAGAGCTCTGCACCCCACGCTGGGGACCTGGGCACCCATGACGCCACGTCCATTGCCACGGCCACCCTAGCTCTCTGCAGCCTCGAGCACCTGCCCGGGAAAGACCCTCCCTCCATGCCCGCCAGTGGCCCAGAGGCCCAAAGCCAGCCATCAGGGCTGCTCCCAGCACCTACCTCCTGTGCCCAGGGTCCGCCGTCCCCTTCTGCCTGGGGCCAGGTGGGAGGGGCCAGCGGTGTGCAAGCCCCCCCAGGTGCAAGGGCCAGGGAGGCCCTGGCAGCTCTTCCATCTTTGACAACAAGCCATTGTGGCCCCAAGGAGATCCTGCCTGGCTGCCTTCTCCTGAGGGCCGGAAGCCCCCAAGACCCTCCCTGCTGCCAGCCTGACCTCAGTGCTGCCCTAACCCCCACCTACAAGGACTATGGCCTTGAAGTTGGCCCACTGAGAACTCTAGAGGGTTCCAAGACAGAGGGACTGGGAAGGCCTCCTGCCTACCACAGCCTTCCACCCCCAGCAGGGGCCATCTCCCCAACAGTGATCACCCAGGCTGCTGGCCCGTCCAGCATTCCCACTGAAGATGGCACAGAGATGGTCAGAGGGCTTTGGGTGTCAGACCCCCACCTGAGCGGAGCCACTGACACCAGCCCCTTCAGTGTGTCCGAGGGTCCCTCCTCGGAGCCCCCAGGCAACACCCCCCTCCTTGGCCACGGGGAAGGGGAGAGCCCCTCAGCTGTGCCCACCCCACCAGGGGCCACAGAGCCAAACCCTCATGCCTACCTAGGAGGTGAGACAGGGGCTGGCAGAGAGGGAGAGGGGGACCCAGGGACACCTGGGGCCAGGCACACTGGCCTGAGAAGAGCTCCCAGAGCTGACACCAGTGGCCCCGCGGGGCCCCCGTCTCCCGCGGGGCTCTGTCAGGGCCAAGCCGCCTCTTCCAGCAGCACAGCCTGTGACCTCAGGTCTGGTTCTCCGCAGAGCCAAGCCAGCGTCCCCCACCTGACACCCCAGAAGGACCCCACACAGAGGCCCCGAGGCTTCCAAAAGAACCCAGAGCCCACAGAGACAGGCCACCAGGAGAGCCACGCCCCAGCCGGGCCCGGGCTACCTGTGACCTGTGAGACCTGCTCGGCCTCCTTCCGCTCCAGGCCAGGTCTGAGCAGGCACAGGGCCAGGAAGCACCCGCCGCGCAAGCCCGCCACCTGCCAGCCCAGCCCTGGGGCACGCCGGGGCCCCAGGAAGAGGAGCCACAAGGGGCCTGGGGGTGACCAACCAAGTCCCTCAGTAACGAGCCCTGGCCGCACCTCTGGGCCATCCCCCATCCAGGGCTCCACAGTGCCTGAGGACACCCTGGGTCCCGAGACGCTGGAGGAAGCCAGGAGGAGCCCTGGCGAGCCCAGGACCCCAGGTTCTCCCCTCGACCAGCTCCCACACCCCCCAGGCCCCGTGGAGCAGGGGGAGGGTGTGAGGGCTTCAGCCCCAAAGCCCAGAAGGCCAGGCCCCCCGGAGGTGGACCAGCTCCCTCCCCAACAGACAGAGAACAGAGAAGACCAGAGGCGAACTGCAGAGCCCCTGGGCTCCCCCAAGCCAGAGGGGAAATGGAACAGGAAGGTGGGAAAGCGGGGGGCTGGGAGAGCCCGGCAGGAGAGCCCTGCCCCAGCCTCCGCAGGCGCGGGTCTAGGAGGGCGCAGCGCAAGCCCAGTGGCGGCAGCCGCCAACCATGCAGCCCTTCTGAGCTGTTGCCTCTCGCGGGAGGGAGCGTGTGAGGCCAGTGTGGGGCAGTGGCTTCGCCCGGCCACTCTGGGGCCTGAGGTCCTAGAGGACGAGGCAGACACAGGCTTGGGGGTTCTGAGTGCAGAGATGGCACCAAAGTCACCCAGAGACCAGCAGCTCCATCCGGGGAAGATGGAGGGGGAGACAGAAGGGGTGTTGCCTGGGGAACTGCGAGCAGGGTGGCGGGGAGCCTCCGCAAGGCGGTGCCGGGGACCAAGAGACATCAGAGAGCCTGAGCTGGCTGCCGGGAGCCAGCCTGCAGAGACCAGCAGAGGGGCCAGGGGCAGGTCAGGCAAGCGCACAGGGGAGCGGGCACCAGACCCTCCAGAGGCATCCGATTCTGTAGTGGGCAACACCATCAGCAGCGGCCCTCGGAGCCGCCCAGGAGCCCGGGCTGAGGTGCAGGGGCCTCAGGGCACCGTCCCTGATGCCCGGGGCCCAGGGCCCGTGGACCCTCCAAGCTCGCTTGATGACGAAGTGTCCTTTTCCCAGCTCTTCCCTTTGGGTGGTCGCTTCACCCAAAAGAAGAATCCCCGTGTCTATGGGAAGGGGTGCAAGAGGCCTAAGCGCCCGCCACCCACAGAGCCCCGCAGCGAGGGGGGCGACCTGCTGCACCCCACCCACCTGCCCCCAGACCTCAGCGACTCGGGCTCCCTCTGCCTCTCCCCGAAGGACCCTTGGGAGGATGAGGCCGCGGTGCTGCCCGAGCCCTTCCTCCTGGATGGGCTCCTGGGCAGCAAGGTACCCAGCCTCGACCCCTGGGCCCCCAGCCTCAGCTGGTGGGCCCCGGAGCCCCACAGGGAAGCTGGCCCTGGGGAAGAGGCCCCGTCCTGCTGCGCAGAAGACTCGGAGTCAGAGGCCATCCCCAAACTGCACATGGTCCCAGCGGCATGGCGAGGCCTGGGCCTGCGGGTCCCCAACGATGAGACTCCTCCTCTGGGAGCCGAGAGCCCAGAGCCCCCCGACCTGGAGAGGGAGCGCTACGATGACGGGCTTCCTGGGAGTGCCAGTCTACTGCCGCGTCCCGCCAAGGACCTGGACCTGCTCAGTGCCAAGCTGGAGACGCGAGACCTGTGCTTCCTGGGCCCCCTCTTGGATTCCAGGGCTGCAGCAGACTCACAGGGGCCAGGGAGCGAAAGGACCCCGGGGGCGGCCAGGCCGGCTCAGGCTGGAGGCGGGGAGCTGCCCGCTCGGGGCAGGAGGGCCTCCTACAAGTGCAGGGTGTGCTTCCAGCGCCTCTGCAGCCTGGGCGAGCTGGACGTGCACAAGCTGGCGCACAGCCCCTCGCCGCCCCCCACCTGCTACTTGTGCGTGGAGCGCAGGTTCTGCTCGCGGCAGCGGCTGCGGAAGCACCTCCAGGAGAGGCACCTGCAGGGCAGAGCGGGGCCCTGGGCCTGTGGCCTGTGCCTCAAGGAGGTGGCCGACGTCTGGATGTACAACCAGCACCTGCGGGAGCACGCCGCCCGCTTTGCCCGCAGGGGGCAGGCGCAGCAGCCCTGGGGGGGCCTGCCCCGCGACTTGGCGCCCGAGAGCACCCACACACACCTCCTGGACAGCATCGTGGAGCCGGACAGACCCCGCAGCAGCAGGCCCACAGGGGACAGAGCAAGTGGGAGCCCCAGGGAGACGGCAGAAGGGGGACGGGAAGCTGAGGAGGAGGCCCCCAGGGGGCAGGTGAGGCCGGCCAGCGGCAGCAGCCCTGCAGCTCCGACCGGCAGCTCCGCCACCCACTCTGCCAAGACGTCTCCCAGCCTGGCCCCTGACCCTTGGCTCCTGCCAGCTGTCCCCATGCACGCGGCCTGCAGGGACCCCTCCAGAGACTGCCACCACTGCGGGAAGCGGTTCCCCAAGCCCTTCAAGCTGCAGCGCCACCTGGCGGTGCATAGCCCGCAGCGCGTCTACCTCTGCCCCCGGTGCCCGGGCGTCTACCCCGAGCTCTGCGAGCTGCGGGCGCACCTGGGTGGGGTGCACGGGCTACAGGAGGAGCGGGAGCTGCCCCACATGCCACTGTACGCCTGCGAGCTCTGCGCCAACGTCATGCACGTCATCAGAAGGTCCTTTGTCTGCAGCTCCTGCAACTACACCTTTGCCAAGAAGGAGCAGTTCGACCGACACATGGAGAAGCACCTGAGGGGCAGCCAGCAGCCCTTGGCGCTCCGCCGTGTGCGCCGGCCAGCGACCCCCAGGCAGAAGGCCCTGGCCCTCGAGGGCGTGCTGCCCAGCAAAAGGCGAAAGGTGGTTGTGCCCAGCAGCCCCCCAGGGCTGGGTGTGGCTGTGGCCGGGCCTTTGTCCCTAGGCAGCCCTACCCTGAGCCCTCCTGCCCTGCCCCAGCTCTGCCCAGAGTCGGCTCCCAGCACCACCAAGAGCTGGCCCAACCCATCCAGCCCCGCGGCCAGGGAAGACCAGCGGCCACCACACAGTCAGGAGCGCCCACCCCCGGCTCTGTCACCTCTCCCCACTGCCTTGGCTGGTGGCAGCTGTGACCAGGGACCGGACCCGACCCTAGAGAGGCCTGAAGACAAGGCTTGGCCAGGCGAGCAGCAGCCTCCCCGGGAGGAAAAGGGGCCTCCTCCCCTGTTCTCAGGGGGACACAGGAGCCCGGGCGCCCGCAGCAAATGTGTGTCTGATGGCTCCCCAGGAGACCCCTTCCAGCTCCAAAAAAAGAAGCAGGTGTCCACACCCCATGTGGCACCCGAGAGGGGTACAAGGGGTCCTTCCCACAAGGGTGGTGCCACCAAGCCACCAAAGCAAGGAGCAGCAGCGTCCACTCCCAGCCATGCACCCAAGCCCCTGGTGCAACCCAGGAAGCCCGTGGGGATAGGGAGCCCGGCACCCCGAGAGCAGGCCCATGGCACTGAGGATAGGGTGAAGCCCACCTCCCCCAAAGCCAAGCCAAGAGCCAGCGCCCAGGGCAACAGGTGCCCATGGCCCGGCACCAAGACAGGAGGCGGCAGCCAGCCCCAACCAGCCAGTGGGCGGCTCCAAAGCGAGACAGCCAGCACCCCAGCCAGGCCCCTACACCCTAGCCCAAACCCCACCTCAGCTAAGTCCCCATCTCGAACCCAGGCCAGGGGCTGCACCAAGGGCCCCAGAGAGGCTGGAGACCAGGGGCCCCGCGGTTCCCCCAGCCCCAGGGAGACGGGCGAGGGCAGGGAGAAGAGGAGGAAGAGCCAGGCCCTGGAGCTGGCCAAGCGTGAAGGCGTGGGGGGCTCTGGCAGAGCCCCTGTGGCCCCCGACAAGCCCCTCCGGACCCCCCGAAAACAGCCTGCTCCCAGCCGCGTGCTCCCCACCAAGCCCAGACCCAGTAGCCAGAACGGTAAGATGAGGCCACCACCCTCAGAGCAGCGGGAGGCACACAGCCGTGCCCACAGGGGGGAGGCACTGAGCAAGCACAGTCCCCAAGCCAGACTCCCGCTCAGGGCCCCCAAGAGGGGTAGAGCCGTCCACAGTGCCGAGGCCACCAGAGCCCGAGACCACCGCACTGCGGAGTCCCAGAGTAACCTCCTCAACCAGCTCTTTGGCCAGAGACTGACCAGCTTCAAGATCCCTTTAAAGAAGTTCACTTCGGAGTAACCGGAGCTCTGGCGGCTGTGGGGCGCCTGGCACGCGGGTTCTGCGCCACTCTCCTTCGGTGTAGCTGAAAGTCGGGGCACCTGCCTGCCCCAGCCTGCAGGAGCTGGGCAGTGCTCCGTGCAGGCTGCCGGGCACAGCAGCCCCTCTCTCGCCGGAGCACAGGGGAGAGGGATGGCAGCTGCAGTCCCTTTGAGACCACACTGCCGCCTCCTTGGTACCCAGTACTTGAAGAGCAAGTAGACCGTGCCCTCCCCAGCCCTGTGTGCCCTCTCGGCAAGGCGCCACCGGCCGTGGAATGCGCTGGGAGAGTCGCACAGGGACCCCGTCACCCAGGGGAAGTAAGCTGGGGCCGGCGCCCCTCTGAATCTTGCTGCTGCTGCCGCTGCTGGAATCCCTGGGGCAGGGCATTCCACATGGGCCATTTCTGAGCCACCTGGTCCCCAACAGCACAACACGCCTCCTCCCTGTGGCCACACTGTGGAGGCTCCCGCTGCACCTGGCTCCTGGGGGCCGACCAGGCTCCCACGGGTTCCTGCAGAAGGCCGTGCCCGGGGCTCCACCAGGCGAGGCCCGCCCACGCAGACCCTCCGCTCTGTCCCGGGGACTCTGCGCTGAGGTTTCTGGTGCTACTTTCGTGTTGTAATGTGAATACAGCTGCCTTGACTTAATCTGGACCAGGGGGTTGGGCGGGACTCCGGGTCAGGGAGGCTAAGGACGCCCGGCTGAGTCTCACTGGCCTCCAGCCAGGCTCCAGCCTGAAGTCCCCGCAGCGAGGGACACCTTCAGGCCTCGTGGGCGAGAGCGTCCCAGCACTGACTGCCCCCACAGGTGCGGTCCTGGGAGAGCAGGAGCTTGGGGCAGGCGTGGGAGGCTCCTCCCCCTGGGGCTCAGGCTCGAGGCTGTCTGTCCTGTGGCTCTTAGCTTGGTGCCATGTGTGTCAAAGGCTTTATTTTGACATCTCAAAAGAGACCAAATCAGCCTCTCTAGAAGGTACTGTGGGCCTCAGAGAGCATCTCGTGTGGACGAAGACGGAGACTCTGAAGCCATACTGTAAAAATCACAGCGAACTCATCTTCTCAAATATATTCCCACTATTTTCGCAGAAAACCCCGGCTGAATGGCGTCTCCTTCTCCCCCGCCCGCCCGGCGCCCCAGAGCGAGGGCCAGGAAACATCCGCCTCCAGGGCACTTCTTGGGGCCACCATGTGCCAGGCTGTGCCCGGGCTGTGAGGACACAGGCAGGACCTGAGGGCACAGTGGGGTGGGCTGGACATGCTGAGCACGTCCATTTATGGGGGGATGCCAAGGCCCAGGCTGTCGGGGTCTCAATAGAGGTCACCTGGCAGAGCTGGTGCCTGCAAGGCCCGGAAGACAGCTGCCAGGCTGGGTCCCTGAGGCCGCCTGGCTGTGCTGCCTCCCAGGCCTGCCAGTCCTCCGGCCACTGACAGTGCGGGTGGAGTGGAGTCCCTCTGCTGCTTCCATAGTCCCTGGCTCTCGGGAGGGGCCCTGGGAGCTGAGGGGAGGACTGGGGAGCACCTAGCAGGGCCCCACTTAGGGGGTGCTGGCCAGCAGGAGGGGCGGCACCCACAGACCCCTGACCCTGGCTGCAACCCCCAGGGTCTGCTGTATCCTTAAAGGCCCCAAATCCAGGTCCAAGCCTCTACCAGGTGAGGCTGGCCCCCAAGGGCAGTCTCATCCTGGGCAAAGGAGGGAGCTGCTCTGGCGGCCCCAGCCATATGTGCTGGGGGAAGATCAGCCCCACAGTTCCACAGGACATAATGGGGTCTCAGCACAGCGTCCAAGCCCAGGTGTCCTCTTCCCCTGATGGCAGATCTGCCCCACAGGCCTACAGGTCTAATGGAGTGGCCCTGCCTGGCCCTTGCCCACACAGCCCCTCCACCAGTACTGCCCCTCCAGGTCCCCACCAACCTTCTACCCCAGCCAGCCACTGGTCCCCCTCTGCTCATGGCCTGTGACCTCGGCCAGCCTTTGCAGGTGGCCCACTCTACAGAGTGACCTGCCAGAAAAGGGCTCTGTGAGTGCAGTTGTGGTCACCTCCCCTGTCCCAGGTACATGTCAAGGGAGCCTGACCAAGCCCTGCCCAGGGACCCCGGACATGTTCTGGGGCATGGAGTACACTGGGGGGATGCGCAGGGGGCTTGGTCTCCAGGGGGTCTTGGGCTACACAGCAGGGCCTCAGCCCGGAGGTTGGAGAGGCGGAACAGGGGGAGGAAGAGAGGGCCTCAACCGCAGGGGCCTGCATCAGCATTCGGGGTGGGAGCAGGTCAGGGGAGTAAGCCATCCGAGCTGTGTCTCAGAAAGGGGGTGGAGACCAGGGTGGCCCGGTCAGCAGTCCTGTCCTGCCCTGTTCAGATCCCTGGCCAGCACGTGCATGTCACCCGGTCCCAGGAGGAAGCTGTGCTCAGGTGTCCTGGGCAGGTGGGCACTCTGGCCTTTCACACGCCCTGAGGGGCTGACTCAAGGACCCTTCCCCAACCATCTAGGCCCTGCTTAGGGACCGGCATGAGCCAGCCCTGCCTCCGTCCACATGTACACCCCCTGGGGCCCCCAGCCCACTCTGCAGCCAAGACCCTCCGCGGGGACCGCCCTAGCCTGGCCACTAGGTGGCAGCATCCATCTGGCCAGGGAGCCCGGCCTCTCCATCACACCTGCTCAGTCCACCACAGACCACCCACACCTGAGCAGGCCGGGGAGCTCTGCACTCAGACACTGACACGTGGCCCCCGACAGCACTCTCCGGCACAGGTGAGCTGCACACACTCACCAACATGGAGCAAGCCCCATGGACGGGAGTCCCCAGGCACATACCCACTGAGCCCCAGGACAAACACAGGTGTCCACCCACCAGCCACACAGACCCCTGGAGTGAGTGGTTCAGGTGTGTCCAGTGTGGAGGTCTGGGCGGGCTCCCTAAGGACTGAGCTGAGCTGGGAGCCCAGGACTGGCGCTCGGGGGCTGGGGTTGAGGCACTGCAGTGGGCAGTGCAAAGCCCCGGCCCTGTGGGCAGTCAGGATTGCTTGCACACAAAGCCTCCCAGCCCAGAGACCCTGTCCCCAGGACAGCTTCCCACCATGGGAGCTGCAGGGCAGGCAGGCAAGGGCATGTGTCTACAGAGGTCACCAGATGGGTCCACTCGGAGGCCCCAAGGTCTGGCCCAAACCTGCCCAGGGAGGTGGGCAGTGGCAGCGCCCCTGGGTTCACCCCCAGGACAGGACGGCAGAGCCCGAGCAGAGCGGCTGGGCTGTGGGCCGCAGGCAGCCCTCTGGCTGGCACAGCCTCTCCCGGCCTGAGGCACAGGTTCCTGGGAGCCGCTGGTTCCCCAGAGAACCCATCACTGCGGGCAGCCTTCTGGGTGGGGGGGCCGCAGGCACCTTCCGGAACCCCGCCCTCAAGAGCCGGGGGGGGGGGGTGTGCAGAGAGCTGCTGAGCAGCTCAGGGAAGCAGATGCCACCAGGGAAGGGCTGTGCTCACAACTCGGGGGACCAGGTCGGGTTCCTTGAAGTGTCCCACAGGGCGATGGGACTTGCCAGGTGCGGTGGCCACGGGGAGCCCCCTCCAGACCACACCACCTGTCCCCACGTGGCACGCAGGCCATGAGACCCAGCAGCAGCACACAGCAGCTTCTAGAAGCCGAGCTGCAGGGACTGGCCAGCACCGTCACAGAGAGGCACCCTTGTCCTGGGGGGACCTGACCTGGCCCCAGGCCCGCGAGCCGGAGGCCCACCCCTTTCCCACAGCACAGGTCTCACTGACCACCAGTGGCCCTTTGAACAGAAGCTCAAGGCTACTGCCTTCTGCCTCCTCTGGGGCCCCTGGGCAGGACGGGGCAGCAGCGCCATCCCCCAGCCCAGGGTCTGCCCAGGGTGCAAGGCAGCACTTAGCCCAGCCGCCTGAGACCCCAGCACTGTTTGGAGCCCAGGGAGGAAGACAGGCACACCCTGACTGTGGGATGAGGCACCAAAGGTGGCAGGCCTCAGGCGGGGGCAGGAGACCTCCAGCCAACCAGTGTCCCTTCTGGGCCTCAGTTTCCCCACTTACTGAATGGGTACGACCCCCTGCAAAACGTTCCCAGCCCTGACCCTCAGCATCTCCCCGTGAGGGCTCAGGTCCAAGTGCACTGTGATTCCCAGGACCCCGTTGGCTTCATGCCTGCGACGGTCTCCTGCCCTGTGAGGCGCCCTTGTCTGGAACAGGACCCCGGGCAAAGCTGATCATAATGGGCAGGCCGGGGCCGGAAACGGGGACCGCAGGGGCCTCCTGGACTGACCGGCATGAGGTGGAAGGAGAGGTACGGGTAGCCTCGCTCGCACCCAAGGCCGGCAGACCCCGCTGGCAGAGAGAGCAGACCACCCCACAAGGCCTCTGAGAGCCACGCGGGGCTGCCACCACCCCAGGTCTGTCATGGCGGGGCCTCTGTCCTCCACCCGCACCTCCAGCCCTCCATCGTCCTGCTGGCTGCAAAGCAAACCCGCCCCCGACGCTCAGAGCAGCCCTGGCTCCCTGCGCTCCGACTGTGTCTGGGAGGCCCGCACGGGCAGCCCGCGCTGGAGTCCTGCGAGGGCTCACACACATCCGGCCCGTGGCTCCCTCGCAGCAGTGGCCGAGTGCCGGAAACAGGAAGTGGCAGCCACATCCTGCTGGACTGGCAGCCTGGAGCCCAGACTCAAGAAGAGGCTGGGCTGGGCACAGTGGTCACACCTGTGATTCCAACGACCCAGGAGGCTGAGCCAGGAGAACCGCAAGTTCAAGGCCAGCTTCAGCAACTTGCTGAGATCTTGTCTTAAAATAAGGGATGAAAGGGCGTGGGCAGAGCTCCTGGTAAAGTGCCCCTCGTCCAATCCCCAGGACCAATCAAGAGCACAACAAACCAAGCTTCCAGGCCTTGCCTCTCGGTGCGAGGGCCAGCCGAGGGTCAGGGCACCAGGTATAGCCATCACAGCTGCTCTCTGACCACATGGAAAACATCCCCCCACATGACCTGAGGCCACCCCGGGATCTCCATCAGGGGCCAGCCTGGGGTCTGCTGTCCTCACCAGGCCAGGAGTGGGTGAGGCCCACGCCATTGCTGGGGGCACCTTCTCTTGTGAGACACAGGACGAGGCTAGAGGCCCTCGACACCCCCAAATAGGGGAGGGATGGTGAGTAGTCTCTCGCCCCGGGCAGTACCCAGTCCAGCCAGGTCACACTGGACTCCTGGTTCCAGCCCAGTCCGGCCTCCTGAGGGTGACTCTGCATGTCTCTACGGTCCTGGTCCAGACAAGGTGTCCTCTCCCATGGACAACTGTCTGCCCTCTGTACTGGCCAGCTGCTGGGGGGCAGCCCGCTCGGGTCCTGGGCCCCAGCCCTGCGGCCTTCAGGATCCTGCCCACGGCCCTTGGAGTCGGCTGCCCTGAGCTCTGTCCTGGCTGGAGAGATCGTCACTTCTCCTGCCTCTTCCTCTGGCTCTGCTTGAGGACAGGGCACCTTCCGGCAGCGTCCTCTCTCTGCACCGAACGTAAGCCACTCGGCTACTGCGGCACCTCAGCACCCCGCCCGCCCACAGCTGAGCTGGCCACGTGCCTGAGCGCTCAGTACCGTGGCCACCCACCACCCCGAGCTGAGAGCTTGGCAGATGGACACCGCGGGCAGCCATTCCAGCCCCTGCCGGCCGCCCAGTCCCGGAGCAAGTAGGGCCCCGTGCTCCACGTACTGGTTCTGTCTCAGCTTCCAACTAGTGTGTGACCACCAGCCCAGGAGCCGGTGGCCAAAAAGAAGGACTTAGGATGTGCCGTGCTTCTGGGAGCTGGCTGGGCAGGGCCTGGGCCTCACCTGGCTCACTCAGGCAGGTGCTGTGTGGGGGCGGGCCTGCAGGGGTGACCAACAGCTGGACAGGCCTCCTCGCGGCACGCAGACTCCAGCAAGTCAGTGCCCACTTAATGGGCCTCTGCTCACCTTGCAGACATCCCACTGGCCAAAGCAGGCCAACGGCTCCACACCACAGGCTTGGCCCTGGCCCCATGCCGCAGCCTGCCCACTACCTCCATTGTTCGCCTCCTGCCAGACCCTACTCTGCAGCCACAGGGCATGTGGGGCCACTGTGGGCTCCA